AGCATCTAAAAAAACTCTTCATTCATGTCAAAATCTGAGTATAGCTGAGAAGCTTCTTGTGATAATTTTTCACCATCCTTCCTAAGGTCCTTAATTTAATCAAGTTTAACAGTAGCACCAATTTGAATGTTGCGCCGTATAATCAACCATTTCTTATCAACATCCTGAAAAAGAAAAAAACAATGGGTTTAGGATATCATTCATAGAATTGAGGATATCATTTAAAAAAACATAGGATATCAAAATAAGTATGCAGGATATAATGAATGAAACTGAGGATATATATAAGAACATATGAAACATTAGTTATTATTATAACTATCATAATCAAGTCAAACAATAAATAAAGAAATCATTATAACATCTAAGGAAATGAAACAACGGGTGTAGGATATGATTCATAGAATTGAGGATATCATTTTAAAAACATATGATATAAAAAAAAAAGTATATAGGATGTAATGCATGTAACTGAGGATATAATTAACAAGATAGAGGATATCGTTAAATCAATACAAAATATGACAATAAGTATAAGACGAAGGATATCATTAACAACATTGAGGATATAATTTATATGATACAGGAAATAAAAAGATTAAGAAAATGTAAGACATAAATTAATAACTAACTAGAATATCGATAAAATGGTTTTCTTTATGAGTATGAAAACCTTTAGAAATCTTATATTGTACATACAATTCGGATTCATCTTCACTTAAAACCTCAAGTTCAATTTTATATTCAAGACTTAAAGGAACATCCTTCTCAATTTGTTCAGGTCCCTTAGAAGATTCAGCAAACCCTATGGTAGAAACATCAATATCTAGTATGACAATACCAATACCAAATTGAGATGGGCTTTAACTCTGATCCTTGACTCGAGCGTTCAAAGAATCAGAATCCGGTTACTTATAAAAGGGAATTTAACTTCTGCATGTTCTCCAAAGTGCACTTTTTGCACAAAACCAATCAACAATGCAGGTAAACAACCACTAATCTTCTTCAAATATTTACCAAGAGTTGTGTCCTTTGGTTTTTCCTTTTCAACAATAAACTTTTGAAAATCCTCTATAGAACTGCACATTTCCTTTATAATATATCCACACCAGTAAAAATCTTTGATTTTATTAACATCACTCAAAGATTTAACAACACAACTAATGTAAGAGACTTGTCACAAGGTGCTAAAAAATTAGTCAATGCATAAACCACAAAAAGTCTCTTAAATTGATCTCCACCATCCTTTAAAGCCTCAAATTTCTCCTTCCAAACTTACAAAGGAATATATCTCTTTTTGGCAACAGATTTATCTTCAGGTGCCTTCTCTTTATTCACAAACTTATCTCCAAAAGACTTCTTTTCTGTCCCAAATGTTAAAGAAGCTGGAGAAACAAAAAAGATTACATTAGTATATATATAGAGAGGATATGATTAAAGGCATAGAGGATATCAGTAGCACAATGAAGGATATCAAAAAAGCTATCAGCATATCAATTAAGAACATTATAACAAGAATAGAAAATATACTGAACACAAAAAAGAAATAATAACTACAATAGAGGATATTAGTAAAGAGAATATAGGAAATCAATTAACAATTGAAGATATAATATAACTAGGAGAAATAGGATTAAGAAAAACAAAAGACATCAATACCTTTGTCACCAACTTTTTCAGGTTTTAAAGCAACTGTTTGAGATCCAAAATTAAATTTCTTCTTCTGGGGCTTGACAACTTCAGCTTTCTCATCATCGTCTAAACCAAAATAGTCCCTCCATTCCTTAATTTTATTCTTATCTGGATCTTCACTATGCTTCTTTTTTGACAATTCAATAACTAGAGTCTCAGTGTGAGGAATGCCAAGAACATTGTGTAAATCAGCACTGTTAAAAGACATCTTCTAATCTCCAACCAACAAAATTTTGCAGTAGGATTAAAATTAAGAACAAGAGGCACATACAAAGATCTATTTAGATCTTTAAATAAGTTCATTTTAAAAAGTCCACCAAATCCAATTTCTTTAACATCAGACTTTTGTTTCTCAGATTGAAGGTGCACTTGACTGACTAGCAACTCTGACTTCTGACATATCATCTTTAGTTATATCACTGGAAAAACAAAACAAATAAAGGAAAATGAAAAAACAAGGAAAAAATATTTAAATAATACATATAATAATTATTTTACAATGTAATACCTCAAATCAAAAGCTTGTTTTTTCTAACTTCCTTCTTTTTTGAGGCTTTGGAACATCACATTTAACTTTTTTAACAAGAGATTCTTTTGCTGGTTTTCTGAAAAAGAAAATAAAGTGTAAGATAAAATAATGAATAATATCATGAGAACAATAGAGGACATCATCAAGATAATAGAGGACATCATCAAGAGAATAAAGGAAATCATCTATTAGATACAGGACGGTATACAAAGAATTAGATACAGGACTTCATCAAGAGAATAAAGGACATCATCAAGAGAATAGAGGATATCATTTATTAGATAGAGGATATCATCACGATAATAGAGGACATCAGTCAAAGTATTAGAGGATATCATGTACAGCGGCAGAGGATATCATGTACAACAATAGAGGACATCATCAAAGCAATATAGGATATAATCAAAACAATATAAAATAAAATCATTACAAAGTGAGACATCAGTAAAACAACGGAGAATATTATATACATAATACAGGATATAATAAAATGAATATAGGATATCTACTAAAACAAAAATAAGGTACTGTAGCATAATGATAATCAGGAAACAAAATATGATATCAAATAACAAAATTAATAATATTCATTGACAAAGAATACATATCAGCAAACAAAGCGTTGATATCCTCAATAATAAAATACGAATCATCTATTCCAGCAGAGACATAACAAACCTAGTTTCGGTGTTTAACTTTCTCTTCGACCCTTGCTTCGGAGATTTTCTACCAATCAACAATCAAATTTTCAACACAAATTTTGAAACACAAGTTGTAATTGAACTAGAAAATGGAAAATTAACCTAAATAACGTAAAATAAACACAGAAATTAAATTCAACAATAATAATCAACAATCGAAGAAGAAAATTGGAATAAAGTTATAAAAAAAAACATAAAATAACTTCATCAACATTCATCAATAGAAAAATCAAAGAGCATTTTAGCAACAGAAAATAAAATTAAACATATACTGGAAAACCTAAATGAAAACAGAAAATTCAAAAACAAAAAAGTTTATATGTATACCTAGAAGCAGAATTGGACTTAGGAGGAACATTATCATCGGAAGATAACGGAGGAGGAGTCGCATTCTTCGACCTCATCGTTGTTGAGTTGCGACGATAATAAGTACGACTAAAATCTTTCATAAAATGCAAAAATCAAGAAATAGAAAGAAAAACAAAGATGATGAAGAGTAAGTAAGAATGCAGAGAAGCAAAAACGAAGTACGAGTGAAGAGAAGAAGAAGAAAAATGGAGGAAACTTGAAATTGAAGATGAACAAATGGCAGTTTATTTTGGAAAATGAAAAAAAAGGAAGAATTAACGTTGAGGAAGTTTGTTGGGCTAGAGTAATAGGTGAGGCGTTATTGGGTTGGACAAATTTCTTTTAAAAAGAGGCCGGGCCAACAAAATTGCCTTAAAAAAGAAGACGGGCCAACGAATCCGTTGGACTGACGAAACGTTGGGTCAGACTTGACTGACCCAATAGTTTGTGTAATGTTATACTGTTTTGGTGACACTAATATTATTTGTAATCTTTTTATAGTTGAAAATATATCCATGTATATTTTAATTTTGGTATTTGGCAATTTTTTATGATCAAGAAATTTATTAGGACCGCTTATTGAGGAAATTCAACACTGTCAAAGGGTGAGATTTCCAGTCTATCGTTGAATTGAACTAGTTTTTCTTAACTTTATTTGTATGTCCCAAAGTTTTTACACTTTTGTATCTCTTTCTTAATTAATCACGTGCTTCTTTTTTTCTCAGCATTTTTATGTGCTCTTATCTCATATTTCCTCTGTTCAAATAATATTGCAACAAGGAAATTACGCATCTTAAAACACATTTTATATATTAAATATCTATAATTGTATAAGAGTAAAAATTATAAAAAGTTGATATTGTGAAAGTATTTTATGAGACGAATCTAAGATCTCACATTACTATATTTTACTTAACGTATAAATTATATTATATGGTCAAACAAGAGTGATGAATAAAGTCCCATTGTTACAATATTATTAGAACAACGGAAGTATTGACTCAGAAGTGTTAACCTTTTACTGATATTAGGTCCGAAGTTTTAAATTTGGTTAATAGCGAGAATTGTTAGGTTCATAATGGTAATGGATAATTTGTTTATAAATCATACTCGTAACTTTCTAATTACCAAATAAATACCCCTCCATTCATAAGAGAAGATTGAGGGAGGAATTAACTTTCAATCTACTTGTCACATAATATTGCTTATCAGCTGAGTATGTAGTGTACTGTATAGTTTAAGACGTTTAGCTCCATTACTTACATATGATGAAGGCATTAAATTGAGTCATTAAGTAATTGTAGGCAAAGGTGCGAAGCTGTCGGGAAAAAAATAATAATAATAATGTAGGCAACATGGGCTAAGGTGCAGAAGTTGGTACAATGCATACAAAATTTCTCATTTTTATTGTTAACTTTAAAGATAATGCTATATGTAGTCGTAAGGGTTACAAATAAGCATTTAATAACTTTTCTTATTTGGTATAAGTTTAAGAATGCATAATAAAATCACGCACAAATCAGTGTAATAAATGAATATATTTCATTAAAACTTTCCTCTTTTAGCTTCTTATTAGACTATGTATAGCATTTTCCTAACTTTAATAATTGTATTTGTATGGTGATAGGCAAAAGGTGTGATCTGTATTCAAATTAACATATCATCAATTCAATGTTTTTATGTGATTTTGATGCAGCTATGAAAATAATAAATGGATGGATTTATTCAGATGGTCCAAGAGGAAGAACAGAGGTTTGGTTTTTATGAATTCATTACTGTTTACAATCTCCAGTTCATACAAATAATTCCAACACCAAAGAGGATTATAATTTACAAATAATTTAACCTAGCAAGTAACAATCCCGATGCCTTGAATCAACTTTTCCTAAGATGAAAAACCACGTTTGCTACAAAGTGATACAAAAATGAGTCTACGAGCTGATGCACTTGCATCAACTACGGTTAGTTCATACCAAAATAATCGAATAACAATCAATCCCGCCTTTCAAAAACTTGATAGAAGAGCAGAAAATTGGCACAGTAAAAGCTGAAGGATGCTTCAAAGGAAACTATAGTGGTACTGATCCATAGAACACTACTTCAGCTGGGCCTGTCATGTATATACGGTTATCTTCCTCCCTCCATTCAATCTCCAATGGCCCTCCAGGAAGGTCAACAGTGCAATTCTAACCCCCCAAAATAAAAATAAATAAAATAAATAAATATTAAATGACAGTAGCAACATCAAACAGTATAGGCAATGAAGAAACGGAAAGCAATTCAAAGAGGAATATGAACATTGTTTGGCTATCAGGGAGCATCACAAAAAACATGAAATACTAAGCAGTACTCACCCTCTCAGATCGACCCTCAAGCACTGCAGCAACGACAACTGCACAAGCTCCTGTTCCACAGGCTAAAGTAGCGTCCTGCACAAGTGCACAACCAAGTAATTGGAGTCAACAAGGATAAGGAACAGCCCAACTAATATAAGTACATGTATATAAATATATGAAGTAATTTTGAAAAAGGGAAAGAAAGATACATTCTATAATTTTGTACTCTTGAAAATAAGTATTAAAAAAGACTTCCAAATAAAATCGAACCTGCACCACGTTCCCATACACGCATCTTCAGGTGTGACCGAGAAAAAACTTGAATTAACTCTGCAAGATCAATACAGTTTTCAGGAAAATTCATGATCCTTAAGCTGTCAATGAAAGAGCCTTTCAATAAGAATCAGTGTATGATTTACTTTTCCAAAATTAAAAAGAGATAATAAGTTCAGAGATCCATAATACCACAATTCATGACCAGTACATCATAATTCAGAAACTGGTATAATAAATATGTAGTAGTTATACCTACATCCCCCCCCCCCCCCACCCCCCACCCCCCTCCCAGAATAAAAAAATATATATAATAATAGTCTGCATTTCGCACAAGTAAATTTATCTTACCTAATGAAAGAATAAATCAAGAAAGAACACAGACTGCACTTCAATAGAGCCTTTTTTGAGATAAACGGAAAGATTCAAAGGTATCAAATTGCCAATGGATAAATTCAGACAGTCTGGTGTATCTATACTTCTATATGTTCCACAGGAATGTGTAATAGTGTATTAATCAGAAAGGCAAAAGCAACATCATGTTAAAGTAAATATATATCCACATGCAAGATCCCACATCTTGGACTTCAGACAGCCAGAAATATAGATTGCCGATTGGTATGATATGTTTTACGTTCATTGAGTTCAGGAACATACATACATACAGATACATCCATACAGGTGAAAGAATCATTCACCAGATTGTTCAAAGAGTCACTGATTGATCCCATTATGTTAATATGCAAAATTATTTTGGGGGGGGGGGATTTCTGCTAGCCATCTATGCTTTAAATGACTTCAGGGAAAAATTAACAGAAGAGAAGAAGCATAATGACAGCATATGGAAAAAAATTAATGAATGTCCAAATATGGAAATATTTTTTTTTTTTTTTTGGGGGGGTGGGGGGTGTTGTTGAAGACTAACTAAGTATGGATACATCTTTTTTTAAAACAAATAAGGCACAAGCTTTCAGAATCATTAACTACTTGTTCCAGTTCAGATTGGATAAGCAATGGATGATATCATAAACTCTTCTGGCACACAAAAAATGCCTCTAATGTCAAAATATTCTTGAGAAGATAAGAGTATTCTAATTATCAGGGAAACATGGGAGATTAAAAACTGACCAGTGTTATTTTTTACATCACGTCATCATTTATCAAAATTAAAAACTGACCAGTGTTAGTTCGAGCTGGAAACACATCATGGTGCTCAAATTTCGGTCCAATGTCAGCCAATTGTATTTGATCAACCACCAGATTCTGTTTGGTCACGAAATCAGCAAAATTTCAGACTCTGAACTTTCAGCTAATCATGAAATAACATATTCTATTTGTTGAACCTCTTCTACAGATTAGAATCTAGCAGTATCAGCCTACAGAATCCCTAATCAAAGGATGTCATTAAACAAGACGAACGAAATTATACCTGCTCTCCTTTTCTACCAAAAGTAACAGTGTGGATTCCCCATGCTGACACAGGTGACGCTCCAGGTTTCTCCATCAACCACTAGATCTGATTTAACAACAGAAGATTCCTTGTTTGCAGGCAGTTTTGTAGGTACATCAGCTGCTCTAAGCACTGGTTCACCCATATCGACTTTAACCTGACACGCACAAAACAATGTCGTAAAATGGATAAGGTACCAGCCTATAAGTAGAAACACGGACTTTTGTCTTTAAAATGTTATCCAAAAATCATACTCCCACTATCCCATAATTAAGTGCCTGTATTTCTTATTGGGTGTCAGTTTGGCTCATGTCATGGGATGTGACAAAGTTTTACTAAGGGAAAATCACCTGCGTTGATTTGGGCATGTAAGATGGAGACCCGAGGGATCACCGGTTCGAAGAGTGGAAGAGTGGGACCATGGAGGGGTTAAACGAGGGAGAGGGAGACCGAAAATGACTTGGTTGGAAGGAGTTAGGAAGGATATGAAGTATATGGATTTGCATATGGATGAAGCATTGGATTGTAAGGGATGGAGGAGGAAGATTTTTGTGGATGACTATACGGAATAATCAAATTTGGTTCATGTAGCAGAACCCCACTTATGGGATTAAGGCTTTGATTGATTGATTGATTTCTTATTGGGTGTCCCAAAATTAAGTGCTTATATCTATTTTTAGTTTTTGTATAATTACCTACATACCCCCACTTTATATACCTTTTAATCTACTAAACTTCCTTATATACCCTTTAAATTTGGTGCCCACATGCACTACTCGCATAAACCAAAAAATAAATTAGATGTACTTTCATTATTATATTCACTAAAAAACAAAGTACAATGCTCTTTGTAACTATTCCCAATGTACTTACACACATGATATTATACTTTCTTCACTTTCCTTAATTTTTGTGAAATATACGGGCATTTCCCCACTAATGGGATTAAGGCTGTGATTGATTGATTGGAAACGGGCACTTAATTATGGGACGGAGGAAGTAATACTTTGTACTCTTTCCATGATTCCATCCTACTAAGATTGCCCCAAATTCATGGTTGTCCGGCTTGTCCCATTGAGATTACCCTGTTACTTAAATGATATAATTTCCTCCTCTAACAACCCATGTGCAACTACATAAAGGCAAAAAAAGCATCCCGCATTCTTAGAAATGAACCAACTCTTATATGAGAGAATTATGGGGTATGGGGCAATTATAGTATGACAAAGGCAGTGATTGCCAAAAGAGAGCAAGAATATATGCAATCAACTTTTTACACTACTTTTTGCTGTGTGCAGTCCAACAGTCGTACAGATAAGGCTATAGGAGGGGAAAAACAGTGGTTTAAAATACGCGGTGAAGTTTAAGCTGCAAAGGCAACCATATAATAATACAGATACCCTATAAAACAACAAAAGGGGCTAGAGGCTAAAATATGTACCTTTCCATCATCTTGAATCTCAGGTACAATCAAACCAGCACCAGTATGGACGGTGAAACTGAACAGCATAGCATAGAACACGACACATAGTTAGTTGGGGAGGCAGAATAAAGATCAAACTGATTTTTGATAGACAAGAGTTTCGGCAACCACAAAAGAGAACACAATGAGCTGTCCTTAAATTAATGGCTTCTGTATCCCCCCCCCAGTCTTTCCCCTCACTAGGGAAAAGAAAAAAGGAAAGATGTCTATTCAAATTCTGCAGAAGAAAGTCCATGAATTATGAACCCAAATTGTTCTATATCTTCCTTGCGCAATGAAGAAAGAGTCTAAGCACCATTTCTTTCAAAACTTTTTCTTTTTCAAAGATAATCAGCTGATGACTCGTCATAGTAAAACTGTTTTTTTAAAAAGTGTTGGAGATGCCTTTTCATCCCTAACAAATGCTTTAGGCATACAAGACATAACTTGGTCAATTTTTTAGTATTTGAATTTGAACTGGTTGCTTTTTTTTTTTTTTTTTTTTTTGGGATGGTTATACTATGAAAATTAATTAACGAGTTGAATATTATTTAAGGAGCAAACCAATTCTAAAATCTCACAAAGCCAATAGGAAATATACATGATTTTATATAGGATATGTTGCAGCCAATGAAAAGTTCAACAACTAAAAGGCATTATCATTAGAAAAATATTTACAATTCAACATATACATGAAATAAAGATCTACATGCACAGGGAGGGGAGGGCTTGATGGTGTAAAACGTTAAGTGTCTATCTTCAGTCAAGTGTCATTGCAGTTCCAAGCTCAGATTAGGTGGGAATATAGAAACCTAGCTATAGTTCTCTATCAATGCTTCGACAGGTCAAGCATTTTTCAACACTAACAGCTAGTCATTACAAATAGGTAAAGTTATAAGGCGAGAAAGAAAAGCCATTAATCATTTAAGGGAGTTAGAAGATAATGATTAAGTCGAAAGGCATTTGCCTGTGTTTTCCTTGTAAGTTCTCGAGCTCGGCAATGAACCTAGCAAAGCATCTCACTCCATTACCGCACATCTATTAAAAAATAAAAAAAAATAAATAAATAATAAAAAAAAATTAAAAATTAAAAAATAAAAAAAAATAAAAAATAAAATAAAAAATAAAAATTAATTCAGTAAAAGACCAGTTAAGAAGTACTAAAAAACATTTACTTTTAAAAAAATTACTTAAAAAAAATTACACTTGATTGAAGCAACTACGACAGGTAATCATAACAATATATCCAATCAATTAAGAAATGCTGCTCATGTTTCATCAACAAGAGAATCAATAATTTTTATAGATGACCTCTATTGCAAAGTTTATACTTAAACACATTGTCGTTGTAATTGGTAACAGTAGTTTCAACAAAAAAGAAAGTAGACTTGAAGCCCACAAAAAACGGTCGAATACAATCACATAAATAAGATCCAAACTTCAAAATGAAAACTCACATTTCATCCTCATCAAACTGGTACAAGAAGTATACTGTTCACAAAGATATACACACCTCAGGCTCACTTCCATCAGAATTGAAAATCCTCATAGTATAATCAGTGCCATTAGTTCCAGGCATTGCAAAGATCACACCATCAGCACCCACTCCAAAATTCCGATCACATAGCTTCACTGCTTGTTCAGGGGTTACCTTGGGCTTAGTTGAGTCTCTACTATCAACCTACTCAGTACAAACAAACTAGGTAAATGGCCGAAAAGTTAAACAAGAAAATTCCACAACAACAGAAATTATAAGACAAATAATTCAATTCAATCAATATCTGGGGACATTGCTTACCAATATAAAGTCATTGCCGAGTCCATGGTACTTGACAAAATGAAGAAATCCACTCTCTTTCCGGTCTAAAAAAGAGGCTCTCTCCTGAGTTTGAGGGGCCATTGACACAGCCACAACTTGAAAACTACGACGTCCTTCACAAGATTTATTCAAAGTCAAATTGTTCCTTAAAAAAGAACAATGTCGGGACTGAACCAAAGTGGACAGGCAACTTCGAGAACTTGAGTACAATGATGAGGAAGAAGAGACTGAAATCGAGCTTGTAGTAGTGGCTGCCATTTAACCTGTAAGCTACCATATCATTTGGTTTAAAATTAGCTCTTTTATTCATCCAATACAGCATATAAAAGTAGTAAGAAATACCTAATCACATGTCGTATACATTATCAGTTCACAATAAACAACCATACTAATTTAGACCATCGGACTATACTCTAAACGGATACAAATGTTCAAAACTGTTATCTCCTAAAATTAACACAACCCAGTAAAAGTCCAACATTTTACAAGAAGAAATTGAGCATTATGCTCCAAATTATAGATGGGATACTTGTACAAGACAATTAACAGAGAACCAATTTGTGAACAGAATTCATTGAAGATGGGATACTTTTATTCATTAGAATAATCAATTCTTTACATGGAATTTTAAATTGGAAAAACCCAATGTTTGACAAGTATAAAACATATTAAAATATGAACGTTGTTATAAGCTTTCATTAATTCGGTAATTATAATCAATTGTTCAATAATCTAACTCACAAAAAACCTAAAATGATTATACAGACAATTAAATTTGATTAATGTTGAAACCCATTCCTGCTCATTTCATCAAAGAAGTACTTGCAAGCATCCATATTTCCTGCCCGGTGCAAGGAATCAGCACAGGCCCATAACTACTTATGCTCGCAGGAAGGCCAAAAAGAATTCTCCAGCAACTTGATTCTGAGGTGGAATTCTGTTATGAGGTTGTTAGTGGGTTTTGGGGTAATGTAGTAATTTTGGGAATTAGTTTGTTATTCCTTCTTAGCTGTAGAAGTTTGTTAGCGAACGGATTATAAAGAGGAGGATGGTAGGAGGTGGGGATTATCCAGAAAGTTGTAGTAAGAAGTTTTGGAGAGATTCCTTCCTCTCGAAAGAAGGAGAGTTGTATTGTTGATTACACTAATTAACAATACATCATATCATCTGTTTGGCTATCTTCCCTCTATTGTGCTTGTGTGTTTTCTCTGTTTTGATCTCAGATTCTAGCAAAGTGGTATCAGACCCGTCACGATCCTCGCCAGAGAAGACATGGCTCGCCTGACTCATGGTCAACGTCTGGATTTGCTGGAGAAGAAGATTGCTGAGGTGCCTACACGTGTAGCACAGGAGATCACTACGGCACTAGGCACTGGCGGCGTTCAAAACGGACCTCATTGCTCAGCTCGCTGCTGGGCAGGAGAAATTTAGATCAGAGAATCGCAAGTCAATGTTGAATGGGCCACCGCATCAGTGGGACAACCCATTCTCCGCGCAACCGCATCTGGACCACGGTGAAGGTGGTTTCCATGGAGGGCAGTCGAATAAGAAATTGCGGAAGCTCGACTTACCTCTCTTTGACGGTACTAAACCAGATGGTTGGATCCGAGCAATTCTTCCATTTCTACCGACTCAGCGAGGAGGATCAATTGGAAGCCGCCGTCGTTGCACTTGATGGTGACGCGCTGCTTTGTTATCAATGGGAGCACTGTCTTCATCCGTTGCTGACGTGGGACGCACTGAAGAAGTTGATACTCCGGTGATTCAGGACCACCGCGCATGAGCAGTGGCTAGCCCACCAGCAGACCGGCACGGTGGCCGAATTTCGACGCCGCTTCATTGAGCTGCTAGCTCCGATTGATGGGGTGGCAGAGGAAATTGCAAAGGGGCAATATATAAATGGCTTGAAGGAGGAAATACGGGTCGAGGTTCGAATCTTAGATCCGGTTACTTTGGACCAGGCCATGGAGCTATGGATGCGGGTTGAAAAATTGAAGCTCAGCCGAAGGCCCAAATCAAGTGGAAGCTTACCAACTTGGAAAACCCCATACCCGAATTACCGATATAGCCCACACTCTACCACCCAATATAATCCGACCCTAACCACGAACCCAAACCTAAACACTACCAACCAGCCTAACCCAAACCGAACCACCTACAACAACCAAAAAAACTCCAGTGGAATAAAGAAGTTGATGGAGAAGGAAGTAAAGCAGAAACAGGAACAAGGATTATGTTTCCGATGCGATGAGAAGTGGAATATTAACCATCGTTGTCGTCGCCGGGAGCTTAGTGTGTTGCTCAGCGTCGTTGATGACGACGAGGAGGAGAACGGCGACACCGGTGAGTTCGCGGCTGTCGAAATCACTAAACCCACACCACCACCGATAACCTTATCTCTTGAACCTAGCGCAGAAGTTTCTTTAAGTTCCGTGATGGGCATTACCAGCCCGAAAACCATGCGCATGGTGGGTACCATCAATGGGAGCAAGGTAATAGTGATAGTGAACCCAAGAGCTAATCATAATTTCATCTCCGCCGTGGCGGCGCGCCAATTGCAGGTGCCGATCACTGATCCGAAGAGTTTTGGTGTTACCTTGGGAACCGGGGAAGCAATTCAGGGAGAAGGGTTGAGCAAGGGGATGTTATTGGAGCTTCAAGGGGTCTCAATCATCGAGGATTTCCTTGTACTACCGCTGGGAAATTCGGATGTAATATTAGGCATCCAATGGGTCGAGAAATTGGGTACCATAGCTTCCAATTGGAAGACCCAGACCTTGAAATTTCAGGTTGGGGGTGACGGGGTGACATGGTGACATTAAAAGGAGACCCGCAATTGGAGAGGACTTGCGTTTCTCTGAAGGCAATGGTGAAAACCTTACACAGAGGAGGACATGGAGCTCTGCTGGAAGGACAGCAGGAGAATGAGTCTCAAATTCCAGCTGCACTCAAACCCCTCACTGACTAGTTCCGGCAGGTGCCACATGGACTACCCCTTCCCAGGGAGATTGAGTGGGACAAACTCCATTAGTGTGCGTCCATATCGGTACCCAGAAGGACGAGATTGAAAAGTTGGTGCAGGACATGTTGCAAGCAGGGATCATACAACCTTCTACCAGTGCCTACTCCAGTCCGGTTCTTTTGGTCAAGAAGGACGGTTCATGGAGATGTGTCGATTATAGGCCACTTAATAAAGAGACGGTTCCTGACAAATTTCCAATACCGGTGATCGAAGAGTTACTAGATGAACTCCACGGTGCAAGGGTATTCACTAAACTGGACCTCAAATCAGGTTACCACCAAATTCGAGTGTGAAATTGGAAAGGAGAGGGTGGCATATCTTGGGCATGTCATCACAGCTTTGGGGGTGGAATGCTTCAAAGATTCAAGCTATGATCGATTGGCCTGTACCCTTGAATCTCAAGGAACTCCGAGGTTTCTTAGGCCTCATTGGTTATTACAGAAAATTCATTCAAGGGTATGCCATGATTGCACAGCCCTTGACTGACAGCTCAGGAATGTTGGGGGTGGACGGCTGAAGCAACACAAGCCTTTGAGACCTTAAGAAGAGCGATGACCAGGGCACCAATTCTGGCTATGCCTAACTTCTCACTGTCTTTTGTTGTCGAAACTGATGCATCAGGATATGGGTTGTAGCAGTGTTATTACAGGGCATTCACCCTATAGCCTATTACAGCAAGGTTTTGGGCATACAAGCCAGGGCAAAGCCAATATACGAGAAGGAATTGATGGCGATTGTATTTGCCATAGAAAAATGGCGGCACTACTTGTTGGGAAGACAATTCACAGTGCGCACTGACTAAAAAAGCTTAAAATTTTTGCTGGAGTAGAGGGAGGTAGGGCATGCTTATCAAAAGTGGGTGAGTAAGTTGCTAGGCTACGCTTTTGACATACATTACAATCCTGCTAAGAAGGTGGCTGATGCCCTGTCACGACAACAACACCCAGAAGTGGAATATGCTGCTATGGTTACTGCTTGTGGAGTTGGAATTTGTCAAGTCCTTTATTGATGAGGATGTGGGGTTACAGAAACTGATTTCTCAATTGCACGGTGGGGACTTAGTTTTAGTTCCTAAATGGTTTTCTCTGGAAAATGGTGTGTTGAAGTACAAAGGACGGGTGGTCATTCCTAACAAATCTGAGCTCATTGCTCGCTTGCTTAGAGAGTATCACGATTCTCCGGTAGGTGGACATGCTGGAGATTTAAAGACATCAACGTCTAGCAGCGGAGTATTGGTTGGGCATGAGGAAGGACGTGGCAAGTTATGTCAAGCAATGCCATGTGTATCAGCAAAATAAAGCTTGAACGCTCTCTCCCTTGGGTTTGCTACAGTCGCTGCCCATTCCGAATAAGGTGTGGGAGGACATATACATGGACTTCATTGAAGGCTTACCTAAGTCTTCGGGATGGGATTCAATTTTGGTAGTTGTTGATCGACTCACGAAGTATGGGCATTTCATTCCCTTAAAACATCCCTATACAGCTCAGGGGGTTGCCCAATGTTTCATGAAGGAGATAGTTCGGCTCCATGGAATACCCTCCTCCATTGTTTCAGATTGAGACAAAATTTTCCTTAGTGTGTTCTGGTCCGAATTGTTTAAGCTCCAGGGCACTCACTTGAGAAGAAGCACAACTTATCATCCCGAGACAAATGGTCAAACGGAGGTACCCAACAAAGGAGTGGAATCATATCTTCGTTGCTTTGTGAATGGGAAGCCTAAGAGTTGGGCCTCATGGTTGCCATGGGCTGAATATTGGTACAATACGGAATTCCACACTGCCACTAATTGTACACCCTTATGGAAGAGACCCTCCCCATCTAGTGCGGTTCACACCTGGAAGCACGAATGTGTCTGCTTTAGAAGATCAATTACTGGAAAGAGATGCTATCTTGGATGAGCTAAAATTCCACTTGACTCGGGCCCAGTGTTATATGAAGCACTATGAGGATAAGAGTAGGAGAGATGGGCAATTTCAGGAAGGGGACATGGTGTACCTGAAACTTCAGCCATACAGACAACAGTCCCGGGCAAAGAGAAAGAATGAGAAGCTCTCTCCACGATTTTATGGCCCCTACACAAGTGGTGCAAAGGGTTGGTAAGGTAGCATACAGGCTGCAGCTACCAAATTCTGCCAAAATACATCCGGTATTTCACATCTCCCAGCTCAAGAAGGTTGTGGGAACAGGACACCATCCCATCCATCTCCCTGCTCAGCTAACTTCAGACATGGTGCTTGAAGTTGCACCAGAATCAGTGCTTGGGGTTAGGACTTCTCAGCAGGCGACAGAGGTTCTAATCAAATGGAAAGGGCTGCAAGATTTTGAGTCCACTTGGGAGCACTTTGATGAGATTGATTGCAGGTTTCCCTCCTTCCACCTTCAGGACAAGCTGAAAGTTTGGGAAGGGGGTATTGCAAGGAATCAGTCCTGACCCATAATTACTTATGCTCGCAGGAAG